ATTTTAGGCTATTTTAAGGGAGGGACATTAAATACCCTCAAGCACAGCTCAGTGCGATTAAGGAAACCTGCACCCTCAACCTAGCACGCATGACGGTACTGATTTGTTAGTCTAAAAAATCGAAGGAGATTTTTCGGTATTTGAACCTGGGCATTTCAGTTTATACTTGTTATATATTAGCACAAATCGCAGTGTCCTTACCGACCTTCTGAATCCAGAACGGGGAAAAAAATGAAAAAAAGTCAAAAACTCTTCCCCACAATTGCTTCTACGTTTCTAACAAGCGTGATTCCCAAGCGACAGAATCGGAAAACACAAAACATGCGTCTGTGTGAAAATCAGTGTTAAGACAAACTTATATCGGTGTTTTTCCGTCGACTTCGTGGCAAGTGCTTCGGATAAAGGCCGGACAGGAAATTTTTGGTGGTGGAAGGGAACTGATTTCCAATTCGATCCATGTACTGCTCACGAAGCGCCAGTGCTTCAATCAGTTCTCTCGCTGCCTCTTTCAGATCTTCCAGTGGAACCTAAATGATAAGAGCATTGCTAATTATCTTTGTTTTTTTGTTGTCGAAACGCCATCAACAAATTTTAAGTAAATGTTTTCTAAGTAATTAGAAAAATCTGCCGAAAACACAAATACCCCGGAAAGTTCTTCTCCAGTGAGAGCCATCCGTTGATAGTTTACGTCGATAGCATCCCGGAAAGCGTACATTTCGACATGCTGTGGTGATCGCGATCGACGACCCATCTCGTCCACTTCGTTCAGCAGTGAACGAGCACCGAGATGCAGCAGGGCGGCATCGCCACCATCGTGCTGAATCGATTCCATCCGGGCCCTACAACAACATTTGACCTTTTCCCAACGAAATTTTTGATCCTCGCAGGTGAAGATAAGAAAGGTCAGGATACAGTACTCATCATGTCTTCTGATGAGATCTACGAGAAGTGCAAACCTTAGCATCGGATACCAGTAAATTGGGAATAAGGGATGCACTCTGAAGTTATTTCTAGGATGTGCGTAATGCATCTAAACAAACTTTCTGTGTTGATAATAGTCGAATTTACAAAACCCGAAGCACCAATTTCTTGATTTCCCTAAGAATTGTGAAAGCATAAACTTCGCACTGTGCAAAATATCATTTTAAATCCAAAAGTTTAACTAAATTCAATCTTAGCCCACAAGGATCCCCCTTCCAGCCTGATTTTGGATATCTCTTCGTGCGGAAAATAGTACTTCTGAGATTTTTACACTGTTCATTCCTGGCATTTCTCCTTTTTTTGGCTGCTTAAGTCATAAAGGGAAAGCAGGAGTGCAAGTGACGAAAAAACCCAACACATCTAACATTTCATTTCGAAAGAGTAAAAACCTAGTCGAAAGCGCACCGACTGCCAGTGCGAAGATGAGTTTTTTGCACAGTTCCCCTGCAGGTTTTTACTGCTAATGGCAAAGTTTTTTTTCCAGCAGATGACTCTAGCTAAGAGAATTGATAGCAGCTACCACAACTGTTGGAAATTATTACCTCTCCCAATCCATGCCAAAAAAATCCAGCGCTCCAGTTGTCCTGGTTTCAGAGTCACGTCAAATTTCACGTGTTCGTACGTTAGGGGCAACGTGAATGCTGTCTTCGCGTGCGCTTGCTCGAACAGGGTTCTGGGTCACGCTCAGAAAATTTCAGTGCTCTAGCTTCTTGGCACGCCAAATTTCACGCGTGTGTATGTGAGACGTGAAAGCGATGCGCAAGTCGTTTTTGCGCCCATTTGGTCAAAGGCCACCGTCAGTTATGCTCAGAAAGTTCCAGCCCTCTAGCTGCTTCAATTCTGAAGTTAAAGAAGTGCCTGCGTGAAATTTTACGTGACCGTACGTAAGATGCAAAGGGGTTGGAAAGCTCAATTTACTTTCAGGGGCACAACAGTAGTCGACAAGTAAAGTTGCAAAATTACAGCTCTCCATAAATTCTTGGTCAGCTTAAGTTGGCATTATGCCAGTTTGTACTTTGACGTGTGCGTATGTGAGACCTAGGTGTGCGTAAAGGCTGAATTTGAAATCTTTGGATTAGACGCGTCCAAGTAGCATCTCTGTGAATTTCTAGCCTCCTAGCTTGCACCGTTCCCAAAAGCGCTTTCCCGCCAAAAAAACTTCCACGTGTCCGTAGGTAAGAACCACGCGGACTTGAGCGCCTATTTTAAAGGATAGGAGCCCGCACGAATGTGCAGATTAAGTTATTACAGTTTCAGCTTTGTAGCTTTTGCGGATTTCGAGATGAAAATCGTTACAGATGCACACACAGACACACATACATACACACACAGACAACCCCTCGACAATATGCGTTTTTGCATTGCATATATGCAAAGAAGGCATAAAAAAAGAACTAACATCACCACCACCATACGATGCAGATTCAGTTACGATAACCACAGAAAAGACAGAGTTGGAAGACATGATAAAAAGGCAGCAAAATCATTGTGACTATCACTACCAGTTTACCGGACTATCTTTGGATAATAAAAGTAAAGTTTCTGTGACAGGTAAAAATTAAGGCGATACGACAAGGTCCTTCACTTCAGAGCTTGTCTTTGAAAATATACAGGTAATAAGTTGGAACAAACAGAAATGCCGCAAGTCCTAGACTTTTTAGTCCGTTACTACAAATAATAACTATTTTTAGTCATGCAAAGCTATAAAATCGACAAGAAACGGATCGGAAGTGAACCGAACACGGATAAAATAAAATTTAAAGCACAAATAAACATATACGCACAGAGAGATATCTATAGCTCTTTGACCATACACGAAGAACATGAATAATGAGGGACTAAAATACGGCAACATCGGACTGTTTTATTTTAAATAATGGCTTGGAAATGGATAAATTAAAAAGCGGATTATTATCCTCAGCACTAAACTAAACCTCATAAACGCATTAGAGGAATTAAACTCAATTCAGAATTTGTATGATAACAGTACAGTCATGAACGCCCGGGAAATAGGTGTGGGTATTTCATTTTAGTGGTGTTACTGATTTCAAATGCAGATATGTCAGGCTTTTCGATTTTAAACTGTAGGTTCACGTATCCTTTTTGCAGCTAATGAATTACACAAAAAAAAAAGGATTTAACATTATCCAGTTTTATTCTTTTCGAATAGCGGGTGCGCCCAGTTCTAGCTGACATTTTTGTAAACTGCTTCATCTATCAAGCGTACATGACAATTCAGAGACAACATGTTTCGAATTCATTGTCCTGAGACGTTGTCAGTCCTCCCCCCCTCCTCTCCCAATTCCTGTACCTCTTTAATTCTCGACCGTGGATCGCTAGCGCAAAGAGTCATGCGAATTTTAAGTTTTAAAAATAGACCAATGTCCTTCGAATTTTGCTACAACTCATGATCTTTACTTTCTGTGTCTCTTATTTCCAGGATGAAACAAATAATTATTTACAAGTAATTATCAGTTTATCTTAATTATTTACTAACGTTTACGTAGTGGAATGTGCAACAAACAAAACAGCACACCTCTTTTTTCAATGCTACAATTACAGGCTTATCTTTGCGTAATTGCCATAATTTTTAAGATAAAATGATCTCCAAAATAAGCAAAATAAACGAAAAATAAAACTAAAGAAGTATTAAAACTAAAATTTAAAAAAAGGCAAAAATAGGTCTGTGCTGTTGCATGCGGTACGAATTTAACATGCAGTTTTACATGAAAAAGTTAGCTGACGTTGAAGTTGAAAGTGTTAAACACTTACTGCATTGAGTGTCGACGCATCTTTTCGCGACGCCTATGAATTTGAAACAAATTATACGACAAAATTAACAAAGGAAAATGGATGCCCTCGCTAACAAAGCAGAATTTTTTTAACTGACAAAATTTGAAACATATTTTTATCACTAGAAAAGCAGGACACGTCTCCAACAATCAGAAAATGTCGGGTAAAGACATGCGTTATGAGCAGTTCCATAAAAAATTTAGCATTAAGAATACCAAGATCAACGTGGACAATCGGTGCGGAGATCTCTCATTAGTGACATTACTTACTGGGATGCGACCACACGTTGGCAACTTTGGCAGAATTCTGCCTGATATTTATACTGTCAGTTAGTATCTATCAATGCGTATATTCTTTCATAAGTCGCCTGAGTGGACGTTTACTTTCTCATAGGTAATACTCACATTAATACGAGACAATTGTCGAGGTTGGCAAGGTGAGTAACCCTGGCCTCTGTCCATCAAGTTTTATTTTCCCGCATTAGTACTGTTAATCGCCGTTTATTCAAAAATTGATGCAATATTTAGCAATGAAACGAGCCATGAAATGTTGAAGAATCTGCTATATTAGTAATTGAGAGAATGAGGGAAGGTCCCCCACTGCTTTTAATATGATCAATCATATTACAGTTTCCCGTTTTTAAAGCAAAAAGCTGGTTAAAAAAAGCAAAATATGTTAGTTTCGAAGTAACAGACAAGGACATGAACTGCTGTTAAACATTCAAAAGTCTCACTACCAAAAAAGATTTGAGGGCGCAGTTGTTCACTTTGCCTAGTGCAACTGTAAGCCTGTAACTACTAAGCTGAGCTTACAAAAGCAAACTTCTGGATGCTTCCGGATCTAAAACAGGGAAAATAAAAATACTAACAGTGATGCGCATATATTTCTAAGCCAAAATTTCCTCCCTTTTTGAAAAACAAGAGGCTCGAAAGTGGCCCGAGTGTACTAAGTGCCAACAGCAACCACTCAACTGTCGATGGTGCCCGTTTTCAAGGGATATTTAGCACCGAAACGAATGAACGAATATTGTAGAAGGATTGGTTGTTCAACTGGCGGAATCGAACTCTCGATCTTTTGCGCCATGCATTTATTTCTTTGACTTTAGTACAAAAACAAGCAAAAGTTGTTTTGATAAATTTTGTATAATCGCTCCAAAAATTCGTCCCCTAATTGCTCATTTAGTCGCGTGTTTTGCATTTCCCTCTATTTTCATAGATAATTAAAATTAACTTTTACAATTTTAGTTGCGACGACACAAGTTATAATGAAACAACGAAAATGGGGAATGCAATATTTTCGCATGCATAAGCGCCAAAAACTTGTGCCTTTCGGAAAAAATTGGGAGTGATAAGAAATACCTATTTGTAAGCTGTCGATGCAGGGCATCCTTACTCTCTTTTACTTCGATTGGATACTGCGAGATTTCGAACGGTGACGAAACCATATGGTGCCCAGGATTCTCGACAATCGCAGGTTGAAACGGGCCGCCATCGAACACTTCTGAATCGACTGTTTCTGAAATAAGTTTCTTCGAAATATCACCGAAAAATAAGACTACTGTTTCCTAAGTGGCTTTAGTCAGAGATCTCTCGGAATCCGGAGCTCCAGGAGATTCCAATGCGATCAGCTTCTGGTTCATCTCATTTTACAGATGACGGTCGTAAGGATAAATGTAAAACTTATAAGAGGATAAATGCAAAACCGATATTCTGTCTTGTTTCTCCGATCCGAAAGGTCAGAGAAATAAGACAGAAAATGCGAAAAATCTATCATTCCCACCAAGGTAAAAGGAAGCAAAAAAACGAATGACATAATAGAAGCATTGGCAGCAAGCTTCGATCATAGCAAAGTTATTCGAGTCATATTACGAACGTGAAATTCAACTCAATTATGAAGGCTGATAATAGAAGCCGACGGATTATGTAGCATTTTCTTGAATGGACAGAGAAGTGCCGCGTTTTTTAAGAGATCCATGCAAGAAATTTGTTCAGAGCTTATCTAGGCTCTCAGAATGCTTTGATCAATCGTCACCCTAAGAAAAAATACTTTGGTCAGCTTCTCATCCCTGATGCAGCTAGCAACTTTTCCATTCTTCTCTACGCTGGGCCTTGCTCATTCGCATAATTCCATATAGCCGTTCAAA